TTTAAATAGGTATTATTATTTGTCCTTTTGTTATTTATACTAAATTACATTTTTCCATAAGGGAGTATGAAAATTTGAAAGGATTTGTGCTCATCTCTTTTTGAACAGTTGTTTTTTATTATTATTATTATTATCATTTTAAATATTTATTTATTAAAAATAATAATAATAATAATAAAACATAACTACTCCCCTAGTTAGTTTTTTTTAAATTAGCAATATTCTTGGCAAACAGAAACAATGTGGAAATTCCACAAGTCCTGCAAGTCCACTAAGGTCTGCAGAAATCCTCAACTGAAGAGCGGAGCCCCACGTTGTTGGTATGTGCGCCTGGCAGGTATGAAGGACAATGAGATTGTCCTGAATGTGCCCTGGGATAAATGCTTTGTATACGCATGAAAATGCAATTAAGTTGTTAACTCTACTGGTAGTTAAATTAATGCTGTAGTAATATCCCAAATAATGGGTGGGTGTATCTGGAGAGAGAAGGCAGAAGTTTTCAGTAGCTCTTGTTTGGTAGGAGCAGTGTTAGAGCTGGCTGCCTGTTCAGCTACACCATTCTTGTTTCAACTTGAATTTCTTAAAGAAGAGAAAATGCACCGTTGTCCAATGAGGTCAAATTTCTCTTTAACTGCTCCTCTCTGAAGATTTTTTTTTTCCCCAGGAAAACTAAGTTTTGTAAAAGTAGAAAAGTAGAAAGAAAGGGATCTGTTAATTGAAACGTTGATGAGTTTTTGTAATGCACCCAGCCTTCTTTCTATTTTCTGTTCATAAAATATTTGATATTTCTTTATGTTTTCTTTGTTTTCTTTTATATTTCTTTTATTTTTTTTATATCAACTTCTCTTAATGAGAGTAAGGGATAAAATACCTGCTTTTAATAGTTCAGCTACAATGGCTACAAAGCTCAAGAGTTTAATATTCTGATATGATCTTCCATATACATTCGTAACAGAAGCCTTTTTTTCCTCTTTCCACAGTTCATGCAAAAATTTGAATTTCATGTTAATGTTCCCTCATTTCTCTTGTGACTGTCTTTTTGGTAAGACTAAATCTATCATAAATCCACTTGAACTTTATCTCCTTGTGGAAATGTGTAGTATTTTAGGTAACAAGGTTAGATATGCTGGCTAAACCAGACACTCCTGGCACACTAAGTACTTTTCAGAAAATGCAGCCCATGGGAGTTACTACAAAGGCTTGTATACTCAAGGAATAGGTTATTAAGGCAGTATATTGAGTTGGACTGTGGTTGGCTATGAGTTGTAGCATAAAAAAGTCACTTTATTTTTTCTCTGCCAAAAAAATAGCTGAATATTGAAAATGCTAGCTGCTACATTTTGAATTTACATACAGACTGAAGGGTAAATTCTGTGTTTCTTAAACATGTGTGATCTAATTAGCATTTGTGAGATTCACTGTGATGAATTTTCCCACTGGCATATGCAATTGCAAATGGCAAGACTGTAGACTGCAGGCTGCCTCTGGTGGACATCCATGGAGGGAAGTGCCTGCATCCTTGCTCCCTGAGGGCCTGGCATCAGCTGACATGGCTCATGAAGTTTCCAGAGTATTTGTAATTACAGGAAAGTTTCTTTGCTGCTGAAAATAAGTAAAAATTGGCTTTGAAGGGGAAGGGGGTTCAGAAAGTGCTTCATGTGTTGTTATTTAGTTGACAAGGAGAGACATAACCTGAGAAAGCTGCTTTGCTGTAGTGCTTCACAGAAATCTAAGTTTGAAAATGAAAATAAGACTGCTTTTTGAGAGAATTATATAAGTGTTAGGGAATTGTTCCAGTGGAGGTTATTTCTGAAGTATGGGCCTTGACCAAAATGTGAGTGAATATTAAGTCTGGTAATTAATTCTTTTGGTTCTTATTCCATGAGGTTATAAATAAGTGTGTTTTTCAATATAAACAATTCTTGAGGTACATCAATAAACCATAATTCTTTGGGAATACTTTCCCTCCAGTTCTTATGAGAAGCACTGCAGACCTGCTGGTCTTAAACACACTTGTCCAAATGCATTAGTCTAATTTACTTTCTTTGAATTTTGTATGACTTCAGCAGATAAATCTTTTTTTTTTTTTTTTTTTTGATAATATACTTCTTTAAATGGCAGTATCTATTTATTCCTCCTTTTCATGTTATTTGCTAAAGTGTGTGCTGACCATCAGAATTTTCTGTTTGAGTGAACGATGTGGACGTGACCCCTGCATGTGACAAGCTGGTGCCAGCCACTGGCCAGCACGATTTAGAGGGCAGCATGTGGAGTGAAGCTCTTGTCACTTTTTTATAGTAGCTCAGCTCATTTAAGTGGAACTTTAAATCAGTTATTTTACAAGGGAGCATTCACTCACTTTTTGTTAATGGAAAGTGTTTGTGAACTAGTGGCATCCACAGCCTCCTTTTAAAAGAACAATTCAGTCCTGTCAGGGTGGAACAGCATCAGCCTGTTTATGGGATTCACTCTTTAATGCATTGATGCTAGGTGCTGGGTTAGTTGTCCAGCACCTTTGTTGGTTTTTATTTGGGTTATATACATGTCCTTTTCTGGATTTGGTCAAGAAAAATAAGAGTGACCACATGTAATTTGGAACTGTACTTTGTATAAAGGTGGCTTTATTCATTTATGTTCTCAGAAGGAAAGCAAAATTTAGGAGTGTAATTCAGTTGCGATGGTTGTGTCCAGCATCAATATCTGCACTGTTCATGTCATAAAAAAGTTTGGTCCATGCTGTCTAATTAAACCAAGTGGAACTAGTTCATCATGTATATAATACATAATTAAAATGAGAGTTACAAATAAGTCATTATATGAACAATGCTGCATTTAGTTATATCCAGTAACTTGCTCTGAGATGCCCTCTGTGTATGTCTCCAATGCCCAATGAGCTTCAAAAATCTCAGAAAAGCAAGGCTTTTCTGGAGACTGAATGTTTTGTGTTTACTGTCCTAGCCACAGGGGAAGGAGAGTTTTCTCCAGAGGGTCTCAGTGGGGTTCAAATCTCTCTTGCAGGCATCTGGAGAGGATTGAGAACCAGCATCCAGCACAGAGTCTCATCCCAACTGCGCAGTTTGCATTTGCATCCCCAAGTTCTGCATTGAAACACTTCTTCCTTCCGCCAGGCAGCCCAGGGACAGTTTTGACAGGTCCCAGGCAGCATGAAGGAGGATGGCATTGGAGACATAGATCAAGAGATACTTGCTCAAGTGCCAGCTGTTCCCTCTAGTGCAGAAACTATGCAGCCACCTCCCAACATCTCACTTGCTTTCTCCTAGCCATCTCCATCAAACCTCAGAGCCCACCTCAAGGCATTTGAAAGACTTGGAGACAGAGCTAGTGAACGATTTTGCAGCTTCCCAAGTGGAGATCTGAGATCAAGTCCTCCTCCTGTGAGCCTGGAGAAGAGATGAGGGTACCGTGGAGGGTGCCATGGCTGCCCTGGCGTGTGAGAGGAGCAGGAGCAGTGATGGTCAGTGCTGCTGTAATGGGCTGGTCCCTGCAGTAGCAACACCAGGGAGCCAGGATGACCTTCCAGGGCTCTTGCACAGGAAAGTGAGGCCATGGCCACTTCTTTCTATTTGCTGTCCGCCTTTTCCCTGCTCTCTAGGAAACACATTGCAGTTGCCCAAGCTCAAAGCCAGCCCATGTAGGCTCTTGCCACAACAGAGAACTTCAGGAATATTTATATGACAAAGAGATTTGGTTTACAGAGGTAGATGACTTGAAAACTGAGCCACTTCAGTCTGTTATATCTTAGCATTTGGTTTGTAGGTTTTGATCAATGCCTTCAAGAAAATACCAGGGCTTTTAGTTATTTCTGAGAGTAAGCTTAAAATTATAACCGATCCTTTCACTGGCTGGTAAGTGGATTAGTTTGGCAAATTGAGTCTTTAGTTAGGATGACAGTAGAAGCAAATATTTGTCCTCAGTCTCTCTCAATGACCCTTGTCTCTGATGTTTCTTCTCTAGAAATTGAAAGAATACTGTATATGTGTCTGATATTGTATTTAGTCTCTCAAGATGGCATCCCAGGTCTGATGTTCAATTAGGGAGTGCAGTTCTGTAATCCTTATTTAATTAGAACTCCTTGTCTGACTCCCTGGGAGTTGCATTGGTAATTGGATTCTCACAAGTGAGAATATGCAGAGGCCACCTCAAAGGAAAGTTATAATTTGCTAATGCGTCTTACTTACCTGTAGTTCTTCGAGAATGTTTCCTCTGCATATTCACATGGTTCCTGTCCACCTTCTGTTTGTCCTTGGATTGCCCTACAGTTGTGGTGTTTAATAAGAGTAACAGAAGTATTGAGCACTGTACAACTCTCCCAAATCTCTAATCACTTGGTGTCATGAGATAGCACTTGTACAGTCCTAGTAGTCACGGCTCTTCTAGGAAGTTCCTGTAGTTCACCAGCACTGGAGAACCAAAACCCACTGGTGTGAATATGCAAGGGCAGCACTCTCAAAGAGCAAGTCAATGGTAAGTAGCCTTTCTTTGCTTTCTGTGATTAACCAAATATTTCTGTCATTATTTTGTAAATTCTATATTTGTAAATTATCTGTGCTTTCCTTATCATAAAATCCTGTTAGATAGCTTTCTGATTTGTGAGATTTAATTTTAAAACTGTTACCTTTCTGACAAAAAACAAAAATATCTGTATTTTTAAGGTTTTGATATTAACTCACTTCAGTTGTAAATTGATATGTTGCTATCGGTGTGTACACATTTGAATTACATATTTCTATCTGACAAAGACACAATTGCAGTACAGTATTATATACTTTAGAATGGCACTCTTAAAGAATTGTGTTATTGTAGTAGATTAGATAGCAGAGTGAGTCATTGACCAAAAAAGGGTTCTAATAGTGTTAACAATATTAATTCTCAAAACAGATTCTCCTAAAGAACACCAAATGTACATTGTTTTTCACTTTTTTTTTTCTTTTTCCTAAACACTTCTGTGTTGTGTTTTTTTTGTGTTTTTTTTTTTCCAGACATGGAATTCTGTGAGACTCCCCATATTCTGTGCTCTGGCTACCAAACAGATTTACATGGTGTATCTGAGCACAGCTACCCACTAGAGGTGGGTTCAGATGTGGAAACTGAAACCGAAGGTGGAGCATCACCAGATCACGCCCTGAGGATGTGGATGAGGGGGGTGAAATCAGAGCACAGCTCCTGTTTGTCAAGCCGGGCAAACTCAGCATTGTCCCTGACTGACACTGACCACGAAAGGAAGTCTGATGGGGAGAATGGTAATAAAGAAATGCATTGAATGTACTGATTAGAAGTAGTAATTCATTGAGACTTTCTTATTCTTCTTTCTTTTCATTTCTTTTCTTTTTTTTCTCTCCTTCCTCCTTAGGTTTATATATTATATGAAAGTTGAAAAGATTGTTTAGTATTTGGATTGTGTTTATAGTGTAGATGGAAAATAAGACAAAAAATGAGACCAAATTTCTGTTAAAATACATTATTCTAAAGAGCAATTACTTTCCTATTTTCTCTGTTTTTATGCAACAGGGAGATTATCACTTTATTTTAGTGGCCTATGCATTAGGTTCTAAATTAAGTCTTTGTGAGTATGTTTAAGTCACACGTTTTGTGTGCAATCCATCCTGCATGTGCTGGCTTCTGGTTGTAGCCTGAAGTTTCCAGTGTTAGGCTAAGCCCTTAGATGACTTAATCAACAGGGCTGGCTGAGCATATCTCTGTCAAATCTCTGTTCTATGTTCCTCTGGATATGGAGGGGGGATTCTTGGGTCAGCAGTACTTTTTGTTTTTTGTTTGTTTCAAGTATTCATTCTCTTTTGGGATTTTTTTGTTTATTTGTTTGCCTTATATTTTAGAAGGGCAAAATGTGTATTAAATTGAGTAACAAGGGGAAAAGAGTCAAATTATTTATCTCAATGCATCATAATCAATGAAAATCTGCTCTCAATGTTTCCTTAAGTGTAATAGTAAGAATACGTAAACAATTTTATCATCTTGGTATCGACAAGCTTAGCTCATCTCTCAATTTCTGTTTAACAGCTACATGTCAGAGTTGGACTTGATGATAAGGAACTGGACATAAGGATCCTTGTGGGTCCCTTCCAACTCAGGATATTCTATGGTTCTGTGTAGTTAATGTAATTAACTAAGTAGTTAACAATGTTAATAGTTAAATGCAGTTAGATAAGTGTGGTTTGGTTTGTGTCTTTGTTTTTTACTGGTTAAGAGATCAGGGAAACAGTGAAAGTGGCAGGTAGCACTTCAATGTTGACAGTGATATATTATAGTGAATCTAAAGTAATAACATCAAAGAGTTTTCTCTTGAATGTCCCTTCTGCAGAATGTCCATTCTGTAGTTAAAATATGGGGTTTACATTTGTTAAATATGAACCTGGAAATATATTTAATATATATAATTTATATTATATATATAATTTCAATGAAATACTCATTTGAGGATTAAGTTTTCTGTGTTATCACATTGTATCATGTTGCAAGGACCAGTTAATCTTCAGATGGCATCCCCAATTTGCATGAAGATCAGCAGATGCCTGCCTTCTTGTAGCATCCTACTTCTGCAAAATTCTGTGTAGGAGTCATCCTCTGTAAAGTCTTGTTGTGTAGGGGGGTTTGTTTGTTTTATTTTGTGTTTTCCTAAGGCATTTAATTTTTAGATGACAGTTGAAGGAATTGAATCTGGCCTGTCTAAAATCAGTTGGACTATGGAAATGGTTAAAGGGAATGTTATCTTAGAAAGGAATGTGCATGCTTTTACTCTTCAGACTAAGAAATGCACGTGGCCATTTATTTTTCAAGTGGATGGGAATTTGACATAATGAATCAGGATTAAGCATACAACTAAGTTATGTATGTAATACAAGTTATGTATTTCATTGAATGCAATGGTGCAGCTGGGTATTCATGATGTTTTGCTAGCCATACAAGTTGCACTAAGTATGTCAATCTTGCTGTAGATGAAAATTATTGTAGGTAGTAAAGGAAATGCTTTTGTTACCTTCCTCATCCTGCATTGCAGGATCCGTGGGTTAAGGGTTGTTAAGATGGAGACATAAGCATTAGGTTTCATCAGCAAAGAATGGAGTGGTTTCTTCTAAATGCTTTTCTTACAGAATGAATTTAATCACTTTAAACTCATTTCTTACATGACCTAGAATGGAACAGAGTAGTGTTTCTGCATGTAGATTTACTATTTGGTTCTTTGTAAGCTTTATAACAAGTTTTTAATTAAAATGATTCTGTGGGTTAGGTATTTGAATATAATATTTAACTAAGCAGTTGGGAGAGAAAAGTGAATGCAAAATTAAGTTGGAAGAGAGAGCTGTGACCACAAGCTTATTTGAAATCTTAGTTGTCTTGGGGCAGGATAAAAACGGAGTGGGCATCAGTGCTTCTTATGGAGTTGAGTAATTATATTTATAGTCTTAAAAGTTAATGTGGATAAATTTGAAGACAGTGTTTCAAGCTATATTCATTTATATTGTGTAGACCTTCACAGGTAAGTTCACAGTCAAAAATTCTGATCCAGAGAGCAGTGTTTTCTGTCTGGGTTAGCACTCAGTAACAAAGCATTCCTTGAGCACAGACATTCTTAAATCTCTACTTAAATGAAGTAATAAATGACAAATCTTTCCCTTTTTATGCAGTCATTTGCGCAAAGTGCTTTAGCAGAAAGCCACAAGTGCTACATTTATCCCTGTCAGCTACTGCCACGAAAGTAGACTTTCTTTATGCCAACCAGCAACTTCTGTGGTGTGAAAATGGTTGAGCACATTAGAGCAGTTGCTGGAAACTCACAAAATGCTGGTTTCCATGATACTGTGCCATTGCTGTAAAAGTAGATGTTCAGAAATTCTGGCTTTAGAAAGGTTATCCAAATGGCATGTGAAGACAGTTAATTTGAAATGGAAGTAAAATTAATGAGGAAGATACAGTTGTTGCATTGTTTGAGAAAACTAATTGCTACTACTGTCTATATTTTGAAAAGGTCTGTTGATTTTTGCTGTTTTATTTTTTTTGCTCTGTGAGCACATGTCTGGTACAAATGCAGAATAGCTTCTCTGTGATGACGTTAGGGCAGCCAAATGTGTAGACTGGTAAAGCTGTTCTTGGGATTTTTTTTGCTTTACATTGATCCACAAATATACTTCCTCAAATTTTATTCTGTTAAGATATTCCTTGAGCTTTTCTTACTCATTCAAAGCTCTAGCAGATGTTACCCGACACAAGATATATCTGTACCTGCGGTACTGTTGAGAACGAAGATCATACTCACTTAAAAGGGACAAGGTGGACTCTTAAAAGGACTAAGCTGATCAGGATATAAGGAGGTAGCATGGACTAACCAAAATTCTTGTGTGGTTTGAGAGCTGAAAGTAGTAGAATAAGATAATTGAATGGTTATTTGCATAGATCTGTTCTATAGTGCTGTTACTACTGTGCAGACATAATTGGAAGATTGAATAAATAGAAATTCCAGACAAGACAAAAACTGATCTGCACTGCCTTGAGATTGTCTTTTTTCTTTTTTTAATCTACCTGAGGTCATCAAAGACAGATTTTTATTTTTATTTTTTTATTCCGGAGGTGCAGAATTCCAGTAAGTCTGTACTTACACCATTCTGGATGGACATACTTGTAGTTCTGCAGAGCAATTGTGTTCTAAAGAACAGGTGAACAGGCAAAGCACAACCCTTACTTCAAATCCTTGGTCTTTGTGAGACCAGTGGTTTGAGTGGGTGTAACTAGGAACTTTCACAGAGTCACAGAACTTATAGGTTGGAAGATCGAGTCCAACCTCTGACCTAACGCTAACAGTCCCCACTAAACCATATCCCTATAGCTATAAAAATGACCTGATGCATTTATTTTAAATCTTTTTCAAGCCCCGTGTGTCAGTAATCAAGGTATGTGCCTCCTCCATGTGCTGCCTATTACTCTGAGAATATATATTTCTAACGTAGAAAGATGAACAATGACCAGGTTACTTAAAAATGTTATATGTGCTAAACTTGTACCCAAATCTAGTGGAAAAATTTAAGCATACTATACCAATAGCTAGTGCCATTAGGAGATTTCAGGTACTGGGTCAAACAATTCTGGTTTTTAGTCTTTGGCCTATATAGTTCATAGTGCCTTCTTATTCCAAGTAGCAAATAGAGGTTGTCACTTTTCTCTTGCATGTACTTTGATCATAATCAGTGTGCTTTATTATGTTTTCTGACTACTCAAATAAGAGAATTTATTTGAGGATTATTTTCCTTCATAGACATACTGACTTTTGTCATTATCACTGTTTAAACATATTCTGGTTGTTCTGAAAGCATTGAACAGATTGTGTGAAAAACCAACATTCCCATTTAAATTAGTGTTGTCAACGTTAATGGCAACTAATAATAGCCTATTAGTGCACAAACTGCCTGAGGCTTTGCCTGAGGCTAAGCAAAATATATATTAATGGCAAGTAATGAACGACCAATTTCATGGGGATCATTGCTTATCTCTGGTATAGTATAAATATTTATATTTTAACCAGAAAAGTGCTACTCTATGGTACGTGAATGTAAATTTTGGACAGAAATGCTTCAAAATAACAATATTAAAAACAGTTATTTTCTTCCATTGAAGAAGAGTACATTTACCCTCAATTCAATGAAACAAAGGTATCTGTCATTGCAGAATATCGGAACATTCAGTTCAGTGGTTTAGTCTGCCAGAATACTGAGCTGGCACATTTCTTTTTTTTCTTTTTTTTATTTCCTTTTTTTGGTGTACAAGGTATGGTCCAGGTGAGGACACAACCCTGATCTACAAAAAGGCTGGTCTTGGAACATACAGCTGAAACTACATGGTATGACATGGAACTGCATCCTTGTGAGCTGACAAGAAGACTCAAGTCCATTTTCTATCCTCTTCCCCACTGAATTGATTATGCAGTTCTTGGGTTTTGCTTTACAGGATGTCTGTGCAGATGTAAAGCAGGGTGTTTTTTTTGGTTTTGTTTTTTACCACATGTCAGTTGAACTCTAGTAAGAAACTCAAGCCATTTCTCCAACACCACAATTTTTAACATATGTCAGGTTGTCAGATTGCTATAACGTGGTTGGTTTTGCTTACTCCTGAAACAGACTTAATGTGTTTATGCAAGTAGATAGACTTTCTCTCTCAAATAGAGAGAACCAGCAGCAGAGTGCTGGTTTCTCATGTAGCATGAAATGCACCCTCTGACTTCGAGTGTTCAGTT